TAGTATTGCATAGCTTTTGCTAGCTACTAAAGGATGCCTTTAATAGCTTAGGAAGTCTTAGAAGGCTAGTGTTTTTTCTAAGGTACCTAGAGATTAAGACTTTACGTAGGACTTTAATTAAAAATCTCTGTGCTAATAGTGCTTTAGAGTTAAATATACGTGCATTTGTTACTACGCTTTAACATTTAACTATTTATAAACTTCCTCTTGAATACTAGTATAATATAAATAGAACTAAGCTTGCTAAAGGCTTTATAAAGAATAGCTTAGTTATTAGTAAGGCTAGAAAGAGCTTAAAAATTATAAAAGCAGTAAAAAGTTAAATATAAGTAATAATATTTAAGTATATTTTAGTTATTAGTAAAGCTCTTTCTTTTTACGTTATTTTACTAGTAAGTTATTTTACTAGTAGTACTTCCTTGCTTTTTTTAAGGATAAATATAATAATTAGTTCTCTATAGTAACCAGGGTTAGGAAAAGTACTAGTAGTACTACTAGTAGTACTTGTACTACTCTAGTACAACTAGTACTAGTACGAGTAAATACTAGAGTAGCACTATAACACTAGTACTAGTACTAGTACGACTAAATACTAGTACTAGTACTAGTAGTACTTAAGTACTAAAGTACTTTAATAGTAATTAGTAGGGTTGATAACCTTCTTATTAATATATTGTTCGATAAATTAAACAAAGACCTATATAACGATTCTTTAAGCAATAATTTAAACAACGATTTAGAAAAAGATTTATTTATTTTAAAAGCTGATTTAAAAGACGAATGTATCTTATACCTTAAAGAAGAAGAAAAAGGCTAAAAGGTAAGTTAAATAAAACCCTTTTAATATAAAGTATATAATAGTTAACTAATTTATTACTAGACTAATCCATTAAAGTACTAAGCTAATAGTGCTTTAAAATACCTTATTTTAAGCATAATAGCTAGATATTACCTAGCTATTCTTACTACTTTAAGGGCTAATAAATTACTACTTTAAGGGCTAATAAAAGCTATTTCTTAGTAATAATGTTATTACTAAGCCTAGAAATAAGCTTCTTCCGGATATAGCTAAAAAGATTCTTTTATTAAAAAGGTAGAAGATTAAAGATTTAAATAAGTTTAAAAAGAACTTAGGTTTAGATAGTAATAAGTATAGGAATTAAGAACTTATTAGTTAGTTAGTTAGTTAGTTAGTTATTTTTACTTACTTGCTTATTATTTCTTTTTCTTTTAAATACTATTGCGTACTTTATTTATTATATACTTTACTATATTATTATATACTTTCTTAATATTATTATAAGTTAAAAGCTACTAATACTATAAGTAATACTAGTACACTAGTACCGCTAGTACTAGTTTTAAAGTACTAGTTAGTACTAGTGTACTAGTTTCCTAGCCCTAATAATAAATAACTTAAGCTAGACTAATAATAAACTTATAGTTAACTAGCCTATATTTATCTTTTTACCTTTTACTCAGCTAAATAATATAAACTAATAGTAGCTACTAGTTCTTAATAGTTATAAAAGCTATATTTCTAATTATTTTCTAATTAAGTATATAAATAATAAGGTTTAGCTTATTATACTCTTTACTTACTCTTTTCATATTACTTAGCCTTTTAATATAAGCTGCTTTTGACTACTTAAGTTATAATACTAATTTTACCTCTTTAACCTCTTTAACCTTAACAATTTAAACGCTACTTATAAGCAAAACTTTATCTATTACTAATTAAAGACTAAATAAGACGCCTTAATAAAAACAAATATTAAAAGCAGCTAAAAGGCTATAAGACTATAGCTAATATCTTTAAGCTAGGTGCTTTAAAATTTATTTATTTTACTATAAGCACTATATACTCTAGCTATATTAAAGACTCTTAATATACTTTATACTACTTCTTTATACTATACTTAATCTAGCAATATTATTTTTAATATAGTATCTACTAGCTAACAGATGTTATAGTAGATTACATTAGTAAAGAAAGAGAGTAATTTAAATACGTTTATATAGTACCTTCTTTATAAAGCTAGCTACGCAATTAATTTAAAAACAGCTATAATAGCCTTTTAAAAGTAGCAAATTAACAAGCTAAAAGTATTATAATTAGCGTAAAAGGATAGTAAGCTCTGTAAAGTAAAGCCTACGCTAAATAAGTAGTTTGTACAAATTTAAGAGGTTGTAGTAGTAGGCTAGGCCGTCTTTCTTACCGCTAAAGTATATTTAAGCTATACTATATTATATAGCTACTAGGGTAGGCAAGGGTAGTCGGCAAGGTTAGCCTAGTAGTTCAAGATAACGTGCTTAGCTATTTCCTTTAAGTGTTTATATTAGAATTAAAGGAAACTTTGCTTAATGCTAGTAGTATATGTATCTAGTTAGCCTAATATAGCTGGTTTAAATCTATATAAGAAGGCTGCTTTATGCTTTAGTAAGGTAGTAGTAGTAGCTTTAATATTGCTATAGTTCTTAAAAAGGCGTTGTTATAGCTAGTATTTTTAATATATACTAGTTGCTTTATTTGCCTTTTATCTTCTTTACTGTTCTATTAGCGTATTATCTTTAGTTTAGCCGGCAAAGATTATAGTAGCGCTAGCCGTAAAGTTTATATTGCTAGCTAGGGTTAAGGCGCGGCCGATTACTATACTATTTAGACCTATAGGCTAAAAGTATTAGCCTCTTATTTATATATAAGGTTAGTAAAAAATATAGCTAAAATATAATTAAAGTAAAGATTAAGTAGTATAGTATATACTTTTGTGTAAAAAGCAAAAGTTATAGTAAATTTACATACCTTATTAACTATGCATAAGTATCTATAGTATATAGATTAAAGGGCTAGCGCTACGCTAAATACGTATCCGCCTCTTAGCATAGGTTTATAAAAGACTAGTAATATATAAGCGATTATACTCTATAGTACTACTAAGCAGATCCTTTAAGCCTATAAGAGTATTACGCCTTACATATTTACTGCTAGGCGGTAGAGTACGTATCTTTATATCTATAGTTTCTCTTATATAGCTGCTATATACACTTTAAACTAAAGTTTATAGTCTAGTTAGATGCTAAGGAATTAGGCGCTTTTCTTAGGCTAAAGAAAGACGTCTAGGCTTAATCGTAGACCGGTAGTAGGGGCGCTGTGCTACTAGGAAAAGTAGAGGAGTTTGCTCTTTGCTAGAGCAAAGATTATTCCGCGCTAGGCCGCCTATAATTATATCGTCTCTTATATAAATGCTAGTTTAGTTATGTAAATATTAGTGGTAGGACTAATAGCTAAAAGGTTTGTGTTGTTTGTGTACTTAATTGCTATTATACTAATAAAGATAAAGGTAATTATAATATAATATTCTATAATTACCTTACTAATAGTTACTAAAGTAACTAGTATAAAGGAGAGACAAATATAGCTAAACTGTTAATGTATAATAGTAAGAAGTAAAGTATAAAAAGCCATAAAAGCATATAACGTAAATAATAGCTATAAACGTTTATATTATAAATAAGTAATATTTAATATATAAAAAGTAAAAAGTAAAAAGGCTAATAAAAAGCATAGCTTTACTTAAAGCTAGCTATACTAGCATTCCTTTACTAAATTAATAAACTTAATATATGTTGTTAACTAGTACTCCTTTAGCTAGAATAAGTATTAGATTATATAATAGCCTTAAAACTAAAGATAAGCGCTTTAAAAAGAAGAAAAGGTTATAAAAAGAAAAAGATACACTAGAGTATAAGATGCTAGTCTAATTTAGGAATAATTAAGTAAGCTTACAATATAGAGTATATACATGCTACGCGAGGCCTAGTAAGGCTAAGGTAAAGTAATTAGCAAGTCTTGCCTAGTAGTAAAGAAAGTACCGCTAAGCCTTGCTAAAAGCACTAAGCTATATTTAGTAAATAATAGCGAATAAAAGGGATAGCTCCCGGAAACGCTTGTTAGGCGCCCTTTAGAACTCTGCCTTGCTAGACCGCTATTACGGCATATATATGCTTTGTAATTGCTTACTTTTAAATAATTATAAAGGGGTAAGACAATGTTTTACTTCTTATTCTTTTATACCTCTTGATCCTGCCTTTTATCTTGTTATAAATTGTATACTTATAGTAGTACTCTTTATATATTACTATTATGGCTTTGCTTATTAAATACGTTTTAGTTAATATAGTTTAGTTTAAAAAGGATAAAAATAACTTACTAAGTAAAATTTAAGATATCTTTACTAAATAAGTAGCTAAACGTAGGTAAGATTAAGATATATATAAAGACTTTTTATAAGAGGTTAATATAGTAACTAACTAAATGTTTAGGAAAATTATTTTACTCTTTTTTTAGCGTAAAGGGTAAAGAGATAATACTAGTAAAGTTATTAATAATAATAGTATCTATTATATTTTTATTATTATTAATATAAATTACTTTAACCCTTTATAATCTTAAGATAATAAATAGCTAGAAAAGTAAAAGATTAAGTAAAGTAAAACCTTTAGTATACCTTACTACTATTAAACTTGTATATAACTTAATACAAAGCTTTTAGTATAATCTAAATAACGCTTAAAGGAAATATAATTCTTATTAAACTTAAGCACTTTAGAATAACCCTTAGTAGTTGAATATGAAATATAATAAACCTTTTATTAATATTCTTTATAGCCTAACTAGTAAGGAATTAAAGACTATCCGAAGTTAAAATACTGCTTAAGGTTTATACTAAAAGATATTAATTACTTTAAGATATCTTAGATAGTATCTTATAAGTTAACTTAATCTTCTTTAATATTATAAAAGCCTTTAACCTTCCTATTATACTTATTAATTCTATTTTAATTAGCTTTAACTAATTATAAGTCTAATTTATAAGCAAAGTAACTATAACTATATCGATTAGTAAGCACTTAATCCTTATTTACTTATTTATTATACTCTTAAAAACATTAAAAAAGACACTTTTACTGAGAATCCTTTTATACTTAATATAAATACACTAAACTGTGCAATTTCCAACCTTCTCGCAATGCTGACTGGTTGGAGCCGACTTAACAATTCCCTGATGCTGGGCCGCCTCCTCGCCTGCTGTGACGGCATCAACGTCGCCAAATATGCGGTCCATGCGCTCGAGGGCAACCCCCTTTGTCTCAGGCAGAATATAAATAACAGAAATCAGACACAAGGTGTTTAATCCACACAGAAGCCAGTAACTCATGCCTCCCACTTCGCGGTTGAAGCGCGGCCACGGCTGTGTGATGGCCAGCAAACAGGCCGTTTGACCAAGAAGCGAGAAGCCAAAAGCCTTATCCCGCACTTCTTGTGGAAAGATCTCCGAGGCCAGCGCTGGCGGCACAGGGCCGTTGGACCAACAGTAGGTTAGGCCGACGATGAAGAGCATTGCGACTTCGATAATGGCCGCCGGCTTGTTGTCATTGTGGGGGAATGCAGTCGTCAAGGCAGACATAACAAGTAAAGCGGTGGCTTGGATAGCAAAACCAGCAATGAGCAGTCGGCGCCGCCCAAAGCGATCGACGGTAAATGTATTGACTAGTACGATCAAAAGCTGCAGTACCGACTGGATTCCATTGATGGCCAGCGCCTGGTGCCCGGCGTCCCAACCGAGAGATTTGTAGATATAAACAAACTGTCAGATGGAAAGGAAAGACGAGAGGGACAGGAAGAAACTCACAATCGTTGCATACATTGTCAGTGCTGCGATCCCGCCAGCTTGCTGCAAGGCCGTCGCATATAATCCGTAAGCGAGCCGCTTGCGAAGGGCTCGCGATTTGAAGATTCCCGTGTAGCCTGTGTTGAATTTTTTGCGATACTCGTATGAAGCCACAATATCGCGAAATTCCTGGTGTACGTGGTCCGATTCCGGTGTGCCCATACGCAACTTGCAGAGCGTCTGCAGGCAGCGGCTAGGGTCATCAGGACTCTTCTCATATAGCCAGCGAGGTGACTCGGGGTACCAAAAAGACACAACGATAAACATGAGGCCGACCGGGATTTGGATTACGTTGGATACGCGCCATGCAATGTTAAATGGGTGCGTGTGAAATGACATGCCGTAACCGGCCCAGAAGGCAATGAGCGTCCCAAGCTGGTAACCAAATTGGGTGACAGTGCCGACAAAAGAGCCGCGCAGCATTCGGGGGGCACATTCAACAACTTGAGGCGTTAGCAAATATATACCTAGAAGATGATAGATGAGATGCGTTTACCATAAAGACTGGTTGAAATGTAGATGCAACCAAACCCGAGGCCACTAACAACTTCTTAGTAAAACACAAAGATCAAAATTCGGGCGACACCTACGTCAGCAACCGACCGCAAATGAGGACAGCGTAAGTGTTTGGTACCACTTGCACTACCACGCCGATGACCATAATCTTTGCCAGGCACAAAGTCAGTCCACATTCCGTGTAGAAAAAACCAATACATACCCCGATAGATATCCTCAGAGCCCAAAGCCGGCCCACAGCGTTAGCCAGTGGGCCACCGATGCAAAGCTGGGCCAAACCGGTGCTCGCCCAAGGAATTGTGGCTATGACACCGCTTCTCGTACTATCAACATCGTAATATTTGACGAACTGAAACTGCGTTAGTGCTTGCACGATGCAATTGTACATAGAGCTCTCACCTGGTCGTCGGCCAGAATGACCGTCATAATACCAGCATCATAGCCATTAAAGGCTAGGCTGAAAACCATTCCGTACAGAATAAGTGCCGCATAGCGATCGTTAGTAGGGAGAAATGTCTCGACGATACCCATATTCTGTTAGTGTTTGTTGGAAATTTAGATGCACGAATTTACAACAGAATCACTACAAAAGTGAACAATTTGAGAAATATGCGCTTTTTGAGACGAACTTTCCAGACACCAAGCACCCTCGCTACTTCGGTTTATGGCGTGGGAGAGATTGTGATATACAGTGGTGATCTGGGTGGCTTTGTGGCTCCGGTGGGAGAACCTGCATATAGCAAATTCGCCCTCCCACCGGAAGCCGGAAGCGGAGACGGCAAAATTTGGATTGGGGTCGTATCATATAGGCTAATGGCGAACGCGGATAAGGAACAAAGAAAATTTAAAATCAGAGACATGTGCAGCTGGCAGAGAATATAGATACAAAGCTTTAGGAGCCCTTTAGCACAGCTACTTGATACAGTCTTCTATTACCCAAATTATAAAATCAACATCCGATAGCCATGACAAATCCACAAATTTGCTTCGCAGACACTTATTTTGACGGTCTGTCTCTCCTCTACGATAGACGCGAAGCGATACGTCGCACAACAGTCAAAGCGCAATTGCAGAAACTCCGTGATACGGGCCGTTTTGACTGCTTCAAGCTGCAATGGCATCCTGTGTACGACGAGGACTACCCGTGGCCGGTGCCGAAGAGCTTGTTTTGGGACAGCGATATTGCCAAGTGGATTGAGGGAGCTTGCTACTTTCTCACCCAGAGCTATGACCAAGATGTCGATGCAGCCGTGTGCGAGCTAGTGCAAGACATATGTCGAGCTCAGCAAGACGATGGATACCTAAATGTCTATTTTACCGTTGTCGATCCGGCCGCACGGTGGTCAAATATTCGAGATCAGCACGAGCTATACAATGCCGGCCATCTGATTGAGGCTGCTTTGGCTCACTGTGCCTACTACCACACTGATGTACTGCTCAAGCCGATTGAAAAATACGTCGCGCTTCTATACCGTGAGTTTGGACCTGGTCCTGGTCAGCGCCGCGCTTATCCTGGTCATCCGGAAATTGAGTTAGCCCTGTTGCGACTGCACAAGGCGACCGGCAGTATGATGGCATATGATCTGGCTCGGTATTTCTTGGAGGAGCGAGGCACTCTACGACCCACCCCGTGTGGAAGCACAAGCAACAACACAGGCGACAATACCAGTTCTTACGAAGGTGCGTTGCTGCTGTACTACGACTGGGAAGAGAAAAAGCGCGGAGACTCACCTTGGAAGCGACCTAACGCATACCCCGAAGCTCGGACAAGTCATTGGTACAACCAAGCACACGTGCCCATCCGGGAGCAAAAGTCGGTAGAAGGACACGCTGTCCGATCTATGTATCTGCTAACGGCGGTAGCTGACATGGTTTACATTGGTGTTGAGCGCCCCGTCGGAGACGAGATGACGTGGAAAACGGCCTTGGACCGGCTCTGGAATAACATGGTCGATAAGAAAATGTCAATGACTGGAGGCATCGGCGCCATAGCACAGTGGGAAGGTTTTGGTCGTGATTACTTCTTGCCTCAAGGCACCGATGAAGGTGGCTGTTACAATGAAACATGCGCAGCCATTGGCGTGATGATGCTGGCCGAAAGGCTGCTGGAGCTTGATCTCGATAGCCGCTACGCCGACATAATGGAGCTCTGTCTGTACAATGCCGTTCTAACAGCTATGAGTCTAGATGGCAAGAGCTTCACCTACATCAACCAGCTTTCCTCCTCCGACACCAACAAGAGCGAGCGCTACAGTTGGTTCGAGTGCGCCTGCTGTCCACCCAACCTTATGCGGCTGTTTGGCAGTTTGGGGGGTTACCTCTGGGATTACAACTCTGGTCCTGGCTCTGAACTGTTTGTTAATGTGCACCTCTATACATCGGCCACGCTGTCGTTCTGCCTAGCTGCTAAGGCTGGAGACCAGGTGGAAAACAAAGGTCAAATGTTTCGGCTAAGGCAAGCGTCCAATTGGCCTTGGGATGGTCAAGTCACGTTTTTTCTGGAAGCCATGTCGTCCGTCCGTATAACAATTCGTCTACGGTTGCCAGCATGGGCAAAGGGAAACTTTACAGTATGTAGCCACCCTATACCGGCAACTTTGGTAACGGACAACACAGCTTACTGGCATAGATCAACCCCTCCTGTGATGCTGCCGATATCCAGAAAGGTTACCTTGTACTACCTCCATCTTACCTCTCCAATAATAGTACATTTAAGTTTAACATCGGCGGCTTCTCCCCCCGACTTCTTGCTCCTCACCCATACACGGGACAGAATACGGTCACAGTGGCCCGAGGACCCCTTGTGTACTGCGTTGAAGACTATGACAACCCCTGGGTCAAAGATCACTTCAAAAGTACTTGCATATCGTCTGATTCTGCAATAACAGAACAGCCAAGGACCCTCGGCAGCACAGGACACGCATATGTAGCCCTGCATGTTACCGGTTGGGAAGGTCACGCGGAGAGGTGGTGGGAAAAAGAGAGCCCAGGATCGTATCCGTCACACGAAGTGTTGGGAGGGGGGTCCTATTTAGAAACAGAGAGAGGACTGGTCCTTATTCCGTATTATCTCAGAGCAAACAGAGGCGGTAAAGGACAGATGAGGGTAGGCTTGTTGCGGAAAGACTAGAGCGATATTTCCCCGCACGTTTCTCCACAATAATGGTACTTCACTTTAGCATAAATTCAACACGTCTCTCCACTTTTACCCATAAACAACATCTCACGAACTTATCCACAAAAGAGTGCAACACACTCGTGCACGACGCAGTTCAACTGCTCGCTTCCTTCCATTACAGTGAACATGGCAGCAAATTCTTCAGTACCGCCAATGACAGCCTTGACAACTGAAGTGGTCTGCAGAAGAACATTCCAGTGCCCCCTCTGTCCCAAGGTATTCAAGCGCCTCGAACATCTCAAGCGCCACCAGCGGGGGCATCAGCTAGACGAACGGCTAGCATGCTCCGTGTGCGCAAAGACGTTCACGCGAAGGTGCGTCGGCTTCCGTATGCGAGCCGCTTCGTTATATCGTGGGACAGAGAGACTGTAAATCAGGCTCGAAAGCTGACAATCTAGCGACATCCGAAATCGCCATGAGTCCCTTCATGGGTTAGAACGACCAAGGACAGCACGCATACGAGCCTGTCTTGAGTGTGCGAGGATCCGTGGTCGGTGCGACAAGGCGGAGCCTTGCTGTTCGCGATGCGCAAGCAGATTTTTGGCATGTGTGTACCCAGACAATGACGGTGGTGACGGGAGGAAACAGCACAAATCCGATGAAGGCGATACAGTCAATGAAGAAATACACCCAGCGCACCCGGAAGACTTTCTGTATCCTCTTTCACACGCCTTGGACAACTTTTCGGACTTCCTGATAACGAGCCCTCCCGGTGAGTTTTTGGCGAACTCTATCAATTGGCTTGCCCCCGATTATAGTGTGGACATCGATCACTCGTTACTTCCAAATGCAAGCTTTAGAACAAGCAGTCCACTACATATCGATTCTTCTACCAGCGCACAGTCAATGCCACCAACGTGGAACGGCGACCAAAATCTCCAGAGTCATTATCCAGATTTAAGGCGCACTCTCGCAGACCAGTTCGGCTCCCCCGTAGCATCTGCTGTGGTTTCCCCTCCCTCTCATGCGTTTAAGGACCGAGATAACACAATCACTGCCGTGCCCATTACTTCACAATTCTCGATTGATTGTAACTCGTCACGCCTAGTCGCCTCTGGTGGCATATATGCAACGAGCACCGTCGGCTCACGGATTCCATGTACAGCACGAACGAGGCGAAGTCCACCATCTATCTGGGGCTCAACACCATTGCTACCCGTTACAGCTGAGATGACCGACGACGACGATGACACTGACAAACAAGAATGTTATTTTCCCGATATGTCCGCCATGACATGTCCATCAGTCGAGACGGAAGGAATTGTAGTGGATGGTCGTATGTATTCGTTGATACTGTCCCACTATCGGCTTCTGTATCCGAACACGGATATCAACATGGGCTGCTTTCCCGATTACACGCATGTTAACCTATTTGCAACCCTCTTTTTTGAGCATTTTGACCCAATCCTATCCATCTACAACAGCCGAGTGGCCGCGATCGATAAGCATTGGGTGTTGGCTTTGGCTGTCATCGCCGTCGGTTCTCAATATAGTGGAACAGTTGAGATGGCCCAGTGCGTGGTGCCGCTGCACGAATTCCTGCGACTTGCACTGGTGTCGAACATCGAGGGGTGTGATGGATGTAGTGGTGACGATGGAACGAGGTTGGCTCGGGCCCAAGCTCTGGTTATAAACCAGGTAGGTATGATGTACTACGGGTCACGACGGCTCGACAGGCTAGCCCGCCACCGACGCGCCGAGTTGGCCGATATCGCTACCACCACTATGCGAATCTTAGCTGAAAAAGACGAGCAGCGGGAAGAACAGAGAGCCGATGATGAGCCAGTCGCAGATGCATGGAGACGGTGGATGGTGCAAGAGGCGTGGCGTCGGCTTGGCTACACCATATGGGTAAGCACAATCCTTCCAAAAGCTGGCAACAGCAACGGACAAAAACGCATACACACACGATGCTGACCCAGAAAACAATGACGACAATGTTCAAGCTACTCGACTGCATGGGTTTTTATCACTTTGGCCAGCGGCCTATGTTGTCTCTTGAATGCACCATTCGTTGCGATCTCCCATACGATGAGCTATGGGCGGCCCATACGGTCGAACAGTGGTCACTGAAATACAAATCGGATGACTACAACAGTATGCAGAACATTTTCAACGGCCATATCTATTCTCATCACACTTACATCTCCCAGGGCACCCATCTCTCGTGTCTTCTGTCTACACTCTGTTTCGCCACCGCCAGCGGCCGTCAGACCTCGGCGAGTTTTCTGACCTTCTTCTGCTACATGGCATCTACGAGCATATTTATCAGGTAGATGATTATTACAGAAGCCCTCTATCGGAATGGATTCCAAGGACTCCCCCGGTTAGTAGACGAGGGGCTGTTAATATTGACGTGGCGGAGACGGCAAGCACGATTCACTCAACCATAAATAATTTCGAATCATGGCGTAGTGCCGCCATGGACTGCGTCGATGTGCTGCATTGGGCTGCCAACGGAACAGTAGCGCGCCTAGCCGGTGCCGAGCACGCCACTGTGCTGCATTTACAATTTTCACGCGTGGTCTTGTGGGCACCATATGCAGCCATCAGGACGCTTGCTGAGTGGGCGGCAGTAACGGCGAGGGCAAGAGAAGGCCCGGACTGTCTTGATTTCGTTTATAGTCGCGAGGGCCAGTGGCTAAGCCGAAATGAGGTAACCCGACACGAGAACACGGTCAAGCAATGGACCCAAGAAGATGAGGTGAGCCTAGAACCCCTTCACACATAAAACCTACCTATTCTAACCAAGAGTCGAAGGCCAAGTCACGACTGACCGTACTGCATTGCGGCGTCGTTTTTTGGCACGTGCGGCGCTACAGCTGCTGGGCTTATTATGAGCCGCATACTGTCTACCTGGCGACGCTAGTACTATGGGCGTTTTGTGCCTATGGACTTCGAAGCGATGACAATTCCTCCCTAACAACCGCAAAAAAACAGTTTGTCCACCTAGACCGACCATGTGATGATGAGATGGTCCAGTTCTTTGTCCGCTACGGCCGGTCGAGCGCTGTAGTTGCCCATGTAGCCGGGGTTGGTGACATTTATGAAGCAGGGGCATCTAATAAGATTTTGCGACTTGGGCGGGAAATTTTAGGCGCTAAAAATGGGGTATCTATGGCATGGGGAAGAACAGGAAAGTATATAAAAGTTTTAACTAAACTAGAAGGATTTGTAGGGGAGCAACATTTAGTAGAAGAATAAAGGAAGACTTAAGATAAAAGTAGTTTATTAAGTGTAAAAGCAAAATTAAAACTCCTGAGTACCAATAGTAGGTTGTATTGCACCGCAATACAACATTTCTTGGCCCGTGCCATCCCTGAGTACCAATAGTAGATTGTTGTCAAGCATTGGAATCCGCCACACTGTGGCCCTTCCGCCCCACTTGGCCGTACTGGCCTGTAATTGGTCAGAAGGCACAAAAGCGGGTCCTGACACTAGTATTAATACGGATCCCTAGAAGGGTCGCGATGTATCTATTTCTTCCTAAGTACACAACACTCTTTCGCCCACACTAGACCCTATTCAGCCTCCTGCTCCTCACAGTGCATCACGTTATATGACCGCTACGTATAGCCTCCTTTAACCTTCACAGGTTATGAGCCCGGCCCAAGAGGACCGGGAGAAGCTGAACAAATAAACCGAAAAGCCTTTACGATACGCTT